TCCTCGGGAGCCCATGGGTCACTCCCCGCATTGTCAAAATTCGCCGTCAATTCCTGTTCTCTGCTCCCTTGCTGCCCTTTTGCAGCCCATGGGACCTCCTCTCATCCGTGGCATCCAGCTCTCCTGGGCTGGGACATGATCGTCCGCCTCTCTAAAGTGCTGGAGAGGGTTTCCTTAAAAAACAAAATGAACAAAAAATGCTCACAGGAGACAAATGAACAGAAATTGTCTATTCCAGAGCAGGCGAGAGCGCAGGACAATCTGTCCAAGGGCGGTGGGATGGTGAAGTCTGCCCCTCCAGACATTCTGCGGGTGGCTGAAGCCCACGCGTTGGTGATGAGCATCCCCAAAGGCTGGGCAGATCCTAAGCTCTAGCTTAGGATAAAATATCTCATTCAAAAAGAGCTCTATGGGATCTGCTGAAGAAGGAGCAGAGGGTCTGGCTGGGTCTTCTCAAGCATTTGGGACACTTGGAGGAAACATCAGCTGGTTCCCCTGAGCTGTTGGTTCATCGCTCCTCTGCCACGCTTTTTCCCCAGCTGCGGTTTCTCGTGCAGCTTCACGCCCTGGGTTTGGGCTGACCCAGGACCACGTTGCTCCACAAAGAGCAGTGACCTGGGCTTTGTGGGACCTCTGCGCCCCGTGGGTTGATGTGAATACATCCCAGAGCGGGGAGTGACCATGCCTAGGCACACGTGCACTGCTCCATGGGTACGCTGCCGAACGTCAGCGCTCAGCACCATGGTGGTGACAGCTGGAGCCGGTTCTACCAACCCAGCAGGTAATGGTGCCACATCCAGCGTGGTCGGTGGCAGCTCCCCTTGCACACTGAAGTCACCATGGGGTATTTCCAGATGGATATGACTTTTCCCGGCTCTGAATATTACCTTGGTGAGACCCTGGCAGGGTCCTCCAAACTTTCCCCATGGCCCAGTAGTGCCTGGGGAGGTGGAAGGAGACTGTCACAGCCATGGTCACATTCCTCCAGGCACTCGCTGTGCACCGTATGAGCCACCTCCAGTACCCCAGAGCCCCCTATTTGGCTCCCATCCGGGATGCCACAGCAGAATGAGTCCTGCACATCCCTCTGCTCCCATAACCCGGGAGTTGGATGGGCACACAGTGTCTGGAAGAAGGCATCCGCTTTTATGGCCTGGAGCAGCATCTCCCTCTGGTGGCTACGGAACAAGGATCTTGGAGGAGAAACATCTCCCCAGCACAACTTCTTCAGTCTGGCAGCGCTGGGAAAAATCTGGATGTTGCAGCAGGTCATTGGGACATCTTGAGTTCCTCGCCCCCCGCTCCCTGCCACCTCCAGAGATGGGAAGGGTGGGGAGGGATATCTGGAGCTGTGATTTGCAGCTGGACAGTCCTTCTACTCCAAACAGGGCTTTAGACTTACCTAAATATAACTGTTTTCTGTAGGTGGAGAGCTTGTGGTTCAGTGCTGGGATTGTACCCAGCACGCAGGTCTTGGATCCTGGGTGCGCCTGGGCTCTCGTGCAGATTGGAAATCTTTAAGGACAGATAATCCATATTATTTCACCTGATTTCGCATTGCTCCCAAGGAGAAGGTGAGGGGGAGCACGGCGGGATCTCACCAGTGACCATCTCCCATCATCAGGGAGCAAAGCCATGGGAACATGACCCCCACATCTATACCCCCACCCGTACCCCAGCCATCGTGCCCCCTCCGGTCCTGCCCCCAGAGTCCCCCCTCTCTTGGCCACTCCTTGACCCACCAGAGATTTCCACAGCCACCTCCTCCGGTGTCAGAGGTGTCAACCCCCGGTGCACCTCCAGGCCCCCTCTGCATCGTGGATGTGCTCCAAGAAATCAGAGTCCTCAAGTACGCGTGACTCCTGTGCCCAAAAGTATTCTCTACTTTCTTAAAATTGTCCCTTTAGCCATATTTTCTTTTCTGACTGGCCCATGGGATAGTTTCACGATGGCTACTCAGTGCTGTCAGACCTTCACCACCTACAGTTAGCCCATGCCACCACAGAGCTAGCATTCAGCTGTAGGATATACCCCTCCCAACCATTTCATGACCCTTATCAATTTTGGCAGTTACAGCTAAAATGGACCCATGGCTGTTCAAGACAGTCCCTGGTAAGCCCAAGTTTAGTTAGTACAAAGCCTATGGTCTGCTGTTAACAGCAGCAACCTTGTATTTATTGGGTGAAAAACACTGAAATCACTCACAAGTGCAGCAAGGACAGTGTAAATCCTTCCGTGTCTCAAGGCCCCAGACCAGGACAGAGCAGCAAACCCTCGGTGCATTTGTTTTTCCTGCCCAATCTTGCCTTGTGATAATCAGCACAGGTTTGAGGGCAGCCCATGATTTGGGTAGTTATCACTTCACTCGCTAAGCATTTGGTTTTTGTAGTCAGTGCAAATGATGGTGGCACGTAGGATTGCAACTATCAAGTGCAGAGCCAAGGTCAACACTGCTGTGGCTTGAGTAGAACATCCAGGGAGAGATTCCCACCAAGCACAACGCCTTGCACTGTGATCCTTGAGTTGGTGGCTGGTTTTCCAACCTGCCAGACCTCAGATGTTAGGGTTGGATGCTCTTACTATCTGCAGCAAATGCTCAAAATGTACGCCAAGTATTACCAGTCTTAATTTAGCATATAGTTTGAATGATTCGCGTCATGTAGGTGTTTCTTCTCAAGGGTGCTAAAATCAGATCTCTCAGTCCACAGGGGGACACAGCCCCTTTCATGGGACCCCTCCAACCTAAAGGGAAGGCTCTGGGTTAGGAAGAGAATGATCCTGCTGAGGGAGGGAAAGGACTTTCTTGTGCTAGACTTAGTTGGTCCTGGTTTGGGGATGGGGTGAGCAAGCACCGCTGCCTGGTTCAGCATCACTCACCCTGCTCTGGGTCAGGGGGTGGGGGACAGGGGCAGCTGCCACCAGCCACCCCCCAGTGAACCTGGGGTCCCACCTTGGCATGAGGGGATATGACAGGGGAGAACAAAACCAATCCTTCCTCCCAGCATCCACAGCCTGGCACAGAAATTTGGCCAGTAAAGGTCTGCATCTCCATCCCAAAGGGCTGCCAACAACCCAACTTGCCACCTCTGTTCCTCCTGAGCTGCTGCTTGCCTGCAGCAACCAAATTGACCCAACCCACGGCTATCTGCACGCCACATCGAAACGCCCATGTCCCTTCTTCATCCTCCCACAACAAAATCCCAACAAGCAACTCATCCTGGAGCTGCAGGATCCAAGTGTGGGGAAGAGAGAAAGGAGGGGATGTGGAGTCCCGTGCCTGTTCATATCTGTGTCCTTTCTTTGCATACCCTCAGCTGGAGAAAGGGAAAAACCCTGCTCAATAACACAAACAGCTTTATTGGGAGTGGGCAGAACCTGAAAGGGTAGAAAAGAGGAAAATGGAGTAGCAAGGTAGGGGATGTGACAGCCAGCCAGGAAGGCGTGCAGCGGTTTGCTTGCAAAGCAGGAGAGCGAGGTCCAACATCCCCTACGGCAAGGTCCAGAGGACCTCTCCACGCTTATGTGCACCCCCAACACAAGACACAGCAAAGGCTGGTTTGATTTTTAAAGCATCATTATATATTATCAAAGGTAGAAAAACAAACCAGATAAAAATTTCCATAATGCCACGGCAGCTCTGCTGCCTTCTGTGTGATCCACATAGTGAGGAGGACTTTGGAAAAGCTGCTGCAACTGCTTCCTCCCTGCAGAGCACAGTCCCAGCATGACGGCATGGGTCCGAACAGAGACATGGAGCTTTCACCACATGGGAAAGTGTCTTGACTTCAAAACCGGCACCAACTGGGTTTTCACGGCCCAGATCAGCTTGAGGAAACATCTGGCTGGGTCAATCCTGAGCAGTGAATGCTACATGGAAGCTTTTTTTAATAATTCATTGCATGCTCATCCTTCCTGCTGCCTTTCCTGCCCTGTGGCACCACTGGCATCCTGCCCACAGCTGGAGAACGCAACCAGATGTGCACCAGCTGGCATCCATGAGCTTGCTGGTGAACCCAGCTGACCAGAGCTCAATCAACATGTCAAGCCAAGTCCTGGGCACTAAGCTATGTCCAGCCACCCTGACTGGAACCATCAGCTATTTCTGAGACCATGGTATTGAGGCTTTTAGTTCCCGATATAAATAAACCCAGCCTGCAATGGGAATTTTATGGTAGCAGGAGTACGCAGATCTGTTTTGAGATTTGGCTTGAGGCTAAATTTAGGAGGGAGCATCCAGCTTCATCTGGATTATCTGCAACTGGGTGGAAGGGGGCAAGGAAGAGGCTGGGCAGAAAAGACCACTTGAGGAAGCAGGGCCATGGGCAAGGAGGCAGGACATGGCTTTTGTCTACAATTCAGGGACCTGAGGTTGTGGTCTGCAGTATGAAAAGGATGTGTGAACCTATGTGGTCCTCGCAAATGGAGTTCGTAAAGCTCTCAAGATGAACCTCATGGGGGAAAAATAAATCAAGCACTGCTGAGCCTTACTTTAGGGCTTATTCTGCCCAGAAGGAAGGGTATCTGAGAGTAAAACTCATTATTTTTCTCGTTTAGGCACTTATTTCTCCTGAGAAGACTCCTGCTTTGGCCAGCACTGCAGCCCCTGGAGACAGCAGCCAGATCTCCATCCCGGGTCAGGCCAGCAGCTTGTATAGGCATTTGTTAATGGACATGCTTCAAGACATTGTCACAAATATATCAAAGGCAGCATGCTCCAGCTGCCTAGCAGGACTGTTACATAAATAAGTTTAATAAATACCTAAACCTGGACTTTTAAGACTTTTTAAGACCTTTGAAGCTCTCCAAAACTGCAAGTAGAAGATGCACTGGGAGGGAAGCTGATGTCCTAGTGATGGAGGACCACATCTGCCCGGCAGCAGGGGCACCATGGGGACAGTCTTCATGGCCAGCATTAACATCCCCCCCCCTCCTGCCGTACCCTGTTGACGAGGCAGTCACCCCAACGCTGACCCAAGGTGACGGTGCAGCAATTGACAGGGTCACTCCAGTAACCCCGACAGGTCTGTCCCCTCTCCCAGCTCCCCCAGTTCTTGCTGTTGGCATCCAGGGTTGGCCTTGGGGGTGGAGGTGAAGCACGGTGGCCTCAGCTTGCTTCCCACGACAGTCCCCTGCGTGCCACAAGGGTGGGTGTCCCAAAGGCGATTCCATCCCACGAGGGCACCCTCCGGCCCCGCGGGCCCCGAGTCCTCTTTGGGGGCACCAGTCACCCCACAGTCACCTGAGCCACCGAGGGAAGAGCTGCTCTGCAGATGCTTGTGGGCACAAGCGCCCAGGATTGGGCTGATGCTCACCATCTCAAGGGATAAATCCCCTCCTCCTCCTCCTCCCAGGCAGCCTGGAGGAGGTTGGGCTTTGCCGTCCCTTGGCACCAGGGCCATGCATGGAGCTGTGGCTGTCCCCACACCAGGTGAGGAGATGTTCCCCGCGCTCGCACTGAAATACACAGAGGAGCCCTCAGCCAAATCCGGGGAGAAGCTGCTGGGAAAGGATATGGCCGGGGGAAAAACAGGATCCTGCCCTGCTCCATCCTCCCGTGCCGTTCTTGCAGTGCCGGCGCTGGGTTTGCTGCCTTCTCCGTTCCCTGCCGCCTGCAATTTCTCATCAGTCAGACCAGATTCAATACCTTGAAGATGGATTTCCCTTGTAGGGAGGGAAAGGTTTGCCCCAGGCTCAACACCGGCAGGTTTCCCCATCCTCCGCTCTCCAGGGTAAACCTCTCCCACGCCACCATCTCCAAAAGCTGCATTGATCATGGATATATCTCCTGTCTTCAAGGCCAGCTTTACCAGCAGCCAGTGGTGATGGTTTGTCCAGCTGTCCTCCAAACACCCTTGGAATTGCAGGAGTGATGAGCTCTTCCCATTTTTGGGATCTGTCATGGTCCCTTCCCCTGCCAAGGACTCTCCATCTCCTGGAATTCCCAAATTCTGCCCTTCTTGGGAGCCATCTCCAGCAACCTCATCATCACCAGCAGCTGCAGCACTGCAGGTTGTCTCCAGGAAGCCCTGCCAGATCTCTGTGGACTTGGGATGGAGCAGGCTGTAATAAAACACCAGAGCTGCGGCACCTGAAAAAAAGGCAGAAAAGTGTCAAGGGATGAGTCCCAGCAGCGTTTTGGTGAGGTGTGGAGGAGAGATCAGACCTCACTGCCACCTCCAGTTCAACAGGCCCTTTGCAGAGATGCTGCTGGGCATCAGGTGTCGGAGCAGCATGTATTTAGCCATTAAATGAGACATCAGCAGGTTTTTTTTAAGACACCCTCCTACTTCTACCCTAAACTCATTCAAGGCCAAAGGAATTGCCCTTTCTTGAACATACTTGATCTGTGTCCAGGGAGATGCACAAAGCCCAGCATCCCAGCATTCCAGCTTCCCTCTGCCCGCATCCCACTGGGAAAACATGAGCCTGGTGAGGACCTCACCCAGCAAACAGCAACTCCCATCCTTGCCCAGCACCAGTTTTGCAAATAGAGGTGCCAATGTTTGCAAGCATCATACAACCTCACCCCTCCTTCAGCTGAGTTGTGCATTAAAGTTTTAGGGAATTAAATGCACCAGCTGGCCATAGCCGCTGCCTGCTTTATGGGCAGGGTATGGAGTAAGGCAGGGTATGGAGCAGGGTTGGGTATGGAGTAAGGTAGGGTATGGAGTAAGGCAGGGTATGGAGTAGGGTAGGGTATGGAGTAGGGCAGGGTATGGGCAAGGCATGGAGTACCTTCTCCATCACATACCAAATAATACTCCCCATGAACACAAAAAGTTTTTCCATTTACAGAAACAGCACTGGTCTTTGAAAGAAAACAGGGTGGGAGAAAGCTGCTGTAGTTCCACATGGTCCCACAGCAGCGTATTTCCAAAACATACCCAGTGATGGCTGATCGATCACAAGCCACCTTCACAAATCATCAGTATATGCTCAAATGAAAATGTTTCCTTGCAGCGATCCCGTGTGTTACACCACTGCCTGCACTGATCACCAAGCAGTAACATCACTGAAAGCACCGATGTGCTTCAAAATTGTATATATTGTATTTGGTAGCGGTACCTAAGCCATCAGGAAGACAATTCAATCATTTCTGCAAGCCTCCTTCTTCTGGGATGGGCTTTTAAGAAATGATGAAGAAACGAAACTCAAGGTGGATTTACAAATTATCGAATATATTCAGACGCTTAAGCTGGAAGAAATAAAGCCAATAGTCCAATGCAACTAAAATAACGGATGATGCTCATTTACTCAAGCTACTCTCGAAATACGCAAAACAGGCTTTAAAACCCAGCAGATCTTACCTATTAGAGACGCTGACATGACGGCCCCGGTCACGCACAGGCTGCTCCTCAGCTCTGCCTGCAGAAAGCGGGTGGCCAGCAGCAGGAGGAGGGTGTTTTCCATCAGCATTATCTGCAGAGCAGAGGGAAAAGAGTTACCACTTTTCTGCTTCTGATGGCTTTAGATGTGCTTCCAATGACAGAAAACACCCAGTTTCTAGATTTCGCTGATTTATTTTGCACCTAACTTATCACTTAAAACATAAGAGTTGCTGAACTGAACTTCCTGCAAAGTCTTGACTTTTTTTTTTTTTACCATGACAAATAACTCTGGCAGAGCAGCAGAGCCGCTCCGGTGTTACTAAGACATTGTATGGCTGCTGCTATGAAAACAAAGCCAGTGTAGAAGGTGCATCCACCTTGGTGACCACCTGGCTTTGTCCGGACACAGTAAATGATGGATTTTTATCAAGTGGTGATGTGAGAGATGAGAAAGGCGAGTCTGAAGCTATTGCTTCTTCCCAGCAGCAGCATCCATGTGGAATACCGAATATCCTGGGTACTTACTGCATAAAATGTGGTCACTCTGTGCTTGGAGGGACCAGGTCGGACATTAATGTAGCAGAAGATGTACACAGCTCCCACCAGGCAATTGAACAGCCTCCAGTGGCAAGGCTGGGTCACAATGTCTGTCTGCTGGGCCACCAGCCAGAAGGACATGAGCAACCAGTGGATACCTGCAAGGGGAAAGGGATTGAAAGGGCAAAGCCATTCCTGGGGGAGACTGCAAAGCGCTCCAGTACCAGGAGCATCTCTGGGATTGACAGCAGGATGGGACGTGGGGAAGATGATCACGGGTCTTACCAGCCACAGCAAAAACCCAAAAGGAATACAGCCTGGCAAAGAGCACCAGGGCCAGGACCCTGGTCCCCAGCATCCCCGTCCTCCAGAGCAGCAGGCAGAGGATGGCCGCAGCCGGCGGGCGGAGGTGACCGGGTTTTAGCAGGCAGGCGAAGTGGCTGTAGGAGACCAAAGCCCAGGCGAGGGAGAGCAGGGACAGCCCCACGCTGAGACCTGCACAGGGACAGGGGCATCAGGTGCTCTGAAGGATGCCCAACCGCATTGTAGGACCATATCTCAATGCTAAGGAGCTGATGGTAGCATGGCACCCCGATACAAGCCAGATACCCCACTGTCCTGCCAATTGGGAGTCTTTCAACCAATTCCCGCTGAATTTGGTCTCCTTTGCATGCTTGGCACCTGCCTGCTTAAATTCTCCTGGGAGCAGAGCTCTGCTGTGGCACGGCAGGTCCATCTCTAGTCACTGTGATCGGACCTGACACTGACACCGACTTGAGCATGACCTTGTGCACGTCGTGACTCCGCACCCCAGCTTCTCCCTTTGCACACCTGAAAGTTCACCTTTTCTGCAAAGCAGCCCCAAAACCCTGAATGCTCAGCATTTCCCTGTGATTCAGGCTGGACCATCAATAGGAACATGTGTTGGGTTCAAACCCAGGCACTGTCTTGCCATGGAGACCCCCGGTATGGGGACTGACTGTACCGGCCAGGAGGAGCCATGTGTAGCTCAGAGACTCCTCTGGGTTCCAGCCACAGCAAATCTTTAAGCCACATTCATCCCTGCTGCTTTGCATTGAGGCTTCCCAGTCCCTTTGCAGCATGTTCCTCCATCCAGAACCTCCCCTGTGCCCTGCCAGGTGGGCACACATGTGTCCCCTACCCAAACACACCACCCCCCCTTAAAGCATCCTCCTGGGAACTCCCCACTCACCAGGGATGAAGCCCACTGGGTCGACTGCCACGACGATGTAGGCTTGCAGCAGGAGGTGAGGCAGGGTCTGCAGCAGGGCTTCCAGGAGCCGCAGCACACACACATCCCCGTGCTGCATCAGCACCTCCCCGGCACAGGCACTGCTGCCCATCTTTGCCGCCATCGACAAAAGATCCCAGTACCTGCAAAAGTCACCACGACGGGATGTCCACCCCGGTTTTGGTAGGTTTGGGACTGCACCCGGGTTGAAGGGGCTGGATGGACCGTGGGGAGCATCTCTCACCGCTTCCAGAGACCCAGCTGCAGGAGGTGGAGGACCAGGAGGTAGCAGGTGGGTGGGCGGCCATCCACCCTGACCCAAAGGATGCTCAGGAGCTGAC